CAGGGGCGGGGGGCTTCCCCCACCAGCCACAGGCTGGCAAAGCGTGGTGGTTCCCAGAAGAGAGAGAGAGCATATTCATACCTTCCACTGCTGCTAATTACTTTATTGCTGACTGAAACCCCAAATCGTACCATGCTAGTAGTAGCAAAGCAGGCTGCAAACCTCAGCACCGTGCAGCAGCCTGAAGCAAGCACAGACTAACTACGTCAGGCAGAGGAAAGAGGGATGGCTCCATCTCACTTCTCCCCACCTTCCCCTCTGTGCGGTAAAAGCCTTTCGGCTTCCTTTAATTCATACTGCTGTTAACATGCATGACAGGACATGATTTCTCTCCATCAGCCTTTTTTCTCCAATGGTATCTGTAGCCAGAGGATATTTGGCCCATCACAAAACAACAGCTTGGGTAACAGAAACTGGGAGAAAGTTCGATGTACCCTTGCCACAACCAGCCGATGTCACTCCCACGGAGTGCACTGATGATGTACAGTAATGAGAAAGTAGTTCACAGGTCAGAAAGCAAAAGCCCTACCCTCATTTTCTGCCCCAGCACAATTTGTACTGTAAACATCAACCTGCCCCAAAAGCAGCGTTTTCCCCTGAGCTTTCCAACACCTGAGTGTGGGCTGAAAGCTGACAAAGCGATGGCACGTCACCTCCACAAGCCTCACTACCACTGCTGGGTAGATCAGCAGGGAAGAGCAGTGCACAGTGAGCAGGCCAAGACCTAGATAATCTTCCTGGTTTGCTCCCTAGTATTTCAGACAGCTCCTAAAAACCCTGCTTACACCCCTACTCTTTCGCAGGCTGGCAGATCCCACTTCTCCCACGCATAAAATAGATGCTACATCAGAGGTAGCTCTCCCTGGAACAGGCAATGTTTCTGCGGGTGTCTTAGCAGCCCTTCATCGCTGGATGCTGCTCACCGAGATGCAAAAAAGCTTGAACCCACTTATTCTAATCCCAGATTATGACATACTATCAGCAACCACTGTGTCGCCTCACAGGAAGCCCTGTCCAGTGGTATGAGCCCTCTGCAACTTGAGCAGCAGGGCTGGACAACAGCAATACAGAGCCCAGAAATATGTGTTCATGACTACTGCTAAGGAAAAATCACGTTCTCTTCCAGGGAGAACGAGCCCAAGAGATGTGATCCTGTCAACGATTCCAGGGCTTTATGGACATCTTCCAAATACCTAAGGAACCCTCCCAAGGTAAGCTACAACTATAAGAGCAGGGCTGAGATTCAGCATCGGAGATGGACACGGGATCCACTGGGATCTAAGCCATGTTCTCCGAGTGCCTCTTGGCGACAAGCTCCTCTTTCACCATTTTTCCCCCCATGCAGTGGAAGGTGGGCATTCCTCATAGAACAAGTCGCAGTGGCTTGTGGCAAGCAGTGGCTTCCAGCCCTAATGAAAGCGGAGCATCAGATCAGGGGAGGCGAGGTGTCACAGCGGGGAATCCCCATATTCTACAGGGGAATCTGAAAGCAGCGTGTTTGCAAGAACTCACTGGCAGATACAAACACATAAAATGGACTCTATCGTCTCTCTAAAAATTTACTGTTCAAACTTGGGTTCTTGAAGGATGTACTGAGAGACAGGAAGAATATCCCCTTTACGCACCATCTGTATGTGAAGACTGTCCATTTTAGCTTATGCCTCTCCCTGACACTGCCCTGTCATGGTTAAAAAAAACAACTCATTTCCACTTGGCCTTAAAAATTCATTTTTGTCCTCTCTCCTGCTACTTAGACTACTACCTTTGCTCTCCTCCTTTAGAAGGAACACAGAAAGGGTTTCATCTGGAGTCTTCAGCTCTCTTTGCAAAGCCCAAGCACATTGTTCCTCCAAATCTAAGGCCCTGCAGTAGGGAAACCGTAGACCACAACACACTTCAGGCCTTCTACATGACAAGGCAAAGGATCAGACTCCTTAGCTCTTCCTCCCTGGCTGTGTCCTCTCTACTGTCTTAAGAGCTTCCAATATTTGCAGACAGCTTTATGATTTTGGGTTTTTTTCTTAATAGCAGGATACTGCATACCAGCTATATGCCTTCTCCCACCCTGATACACAAACAAAGGAGCAAGCCAGAAAAACAGCATTTCCTCAGAACTGACAGAAGAGCTGCAGGCTGAAAAATCCCACCCATTTTCTGTCCCTTCCGCTCTGAGATATAATATCTCATTAGCAATGTTTGATATTTACAGGTTGCCATATATTACAGCAATCATATTTCTTTTCCGTGCTACATCTGCAGCCTGTTAAGACTGCAAATGCTGCGTTTGCACAGCTCTGAAAGACCCAACTGTGATTTTTCACGGCAATATTACTGCAAAGTCGCTTCCCTTTTCCACCTGCATACTCAGACAGACGTTTCAGTCCTCCTCACTCTGACACTTACACGACTGTGCGAAGAGACTTCCAAGGTCATCCAGTCATCCGGACCTCCCACTGCACCACATCAGTAAAGAGCCTGTCCAGGTGAGCCACCTCCCCACATTTACATTAAATTAACCTCAAAAGAGTCTCCTCTTGGCCCTGCTTCACTGTCTGGCTGCTCTGACCATATAATAGCATGAATGACATCTGACGCATTCCATATCTCAACACAACATTCATCTTAAAAAAGGTCTTAAAGATGAAAAAAAGTTAGAAAGCATATACCCACCAACATAACCCTATGCTATAAAACAGAAATGAATGGTTGGCATGGTAACTGCTTCAGAGAGAAATAGAGTCACTCACAAATGCTCAATGGCCAGAAGAAATCCTCACACATGCACACCTGCTCCTTTCCCTTCCTTACCGTTATTACCAAGCTTCATTCAAAGACTGGAGTTTACCTAATTCTGCAACGTTTCGCACCAGCAAACTGCAACAGGAAGAGAAGTGCACCACTTCTGTCACTGAAACCTATTCAAATTTCTCCAAGTACCCTGAGAAATCCTGTTGCTTTGGACAAATCTATAAGCTCTCTTGTTGCTCTGTGAGGGACCGTTTTGAATTACTGTTTTTCATTACTGATGTGCTTTCTAGCAGACCCTGCTGTGAGATAAAGTGGTATTAGAGTGGCATTACCGGCTGGTGGAGTGATTGAGAGACATACAGGGCTGCAATATACTCCTTGAACTAACAGGCAGCAATATATCTAGAAACCCTTTTGCTACCATCAGGAGAAGGAAGGGCAGAAAAATAAAGCACCATACATTCCTAGGCTAACATATGCAAATCCCCAAATACCTGCCACTGACCGAATTCCACATTTCAGACTAAAAATGGAAACTCTAGAGCTGATGTAAGCAGTACCAGGAACATTTCAGGCCCTCCTGAGAGGCACAGGGCCCTGAGAAGTGCTAACACGACGCTGCAGCTCCCAGGCCGGGCCACCTTGTGCCCATGCAGTGTAGAGAGCAGGAACTACAGCCGCAGACCTTCTGCCTGCACCCATATAGATGCGTCCTGCTGCAGGGCAGCTTCAGCTGCCACCGTTTTGCGAGATTCCCGAGAAAGCACCTTGATGACTCAGCAGCAGCAAAAGGTATGCTATGTCTTGAACGCCGCACTTTCTCAGAGATGTTGGTATTGCTGGTATGAGGAGGATTCATGCCTGGATGCTGGTTCTGAGTACAGTTCAGCTCCGAGGCTACTGAAGCCCAGAAGTAGCTGTTAGACTGAAATTCGTTCCCACACGCACGCCCATGCTGCAGGATCCCTAACCATGAAGCAGAGCTTTACAGGACTCAGTGCCATCCAGACACAGACCAAAAATATTGCAGGAGAGACAGAAGGTCAGGCAAGAAGAGGAAAAATTAACATGACTAGCCTGGTCAGCAGTGGTCTCAGCACTCCTCTGACCAAGCTCGGGTTTCTGCAGCTTTCTAGGACAAGGAGCATGCAAAGGTTTGCAGATGTTCCCAGGCACCTCCTTCTGAATGTGACTGACAACACTGGGGAAAGCCCCAAGATAAATTTATTAAAATGTTTATAAGTGGATGGCAGACCTCCCTGCCTACCCGCGGATGCAAACTGCTACTTATGAGTGAGTAAGAGACAAACAAAGTGATAGAGACAGATCAGGAGGGGTCTGGAGAGCAAGGAAGATCACCAGCAGAGGCTGGGCCAATGGAAGGCTGCAGAGATGCGGCCGAAGCAGCAGGCAGGAAAAATGAGTGCTCTACAAGGAGAAGAGCCAGTCCTGTGTGAGGGCAGAGTGTTGCAGGAATAAAAACACAGGGTGAGAGCACAAACAAGAGCATTAGCTGCAAACATGACTAAAAGAGGCCACATCACAGAGATACGACACTGAAAGGATTCGCCTGACACCGAGACAGCCTGGAGGCCAGAATCCAGCAAGACGTACGGGATGACACTGAGGTTACTGCCCTGCGCAGCAGGCAGATCTGGGTTTGCTGTCCACGAGGAGGGAGAAGAGAGATCCACAGGACCTGCTGGCAGACAGCTAGAGAGAGGAGGAGGTGGCTCAGATGAACAGAGTACAGGATGCCAAGGCTTCAAGCAGAGCAGGGCCAGTCATGTCTGAAAGGTCTGACAGGTTGAGGAGCTCAAGGAAGAGGACTGTAGCAGCCATAAGCCCAGTTAGAAGGGGATAAAGGGCAAGAGAAACACCAGACGGAAAGCAGCGGTCTCAGTCCAGGGCCAACGGCTTGAACAGTCACTACCAGAGCCCTGTGCTGAAGTTACCAGCCCTACGAAGAACTGCTTCTCTCCCTGCAACTTTGGTGTGTCCACCCACAAGGACTGGAACGAGAAACCAACAGAGGGAGCCAGGCCACCACTGTCGCCAGCCCGAGGTCCAACACTCTGTCCAGCTAACACTTTCTCAGGTGGTTTCCATTACCCTGTCTTCAGGCCTTTCCTTTAATAACAGTAAGCTTCAATAAAGATAGTTGCTGCTGGCTAACGGGGACAGACGATCGAGACAGTGATATCTTCCTAGCCTGAGGAAAGTGTGCTCGTGGCATTGCGCTGTTTGATAATACATGGATCTATTAGCCAATTTCAGTTGTATTTAACATCAGGTGGAAACCTGAGTGATAGAACACTCCTAAGATGTCACTGAAATAGGCAGCTGGGTGGAGAAGAGGGACTTAAATCAGAACTGCCAGGAAAGAGAAGACTGCAAAGCCAGCTCAGTTCTGCTCTTAGAGATAATTGACATGCAAGTGACCACGAAAACTTGACCAAGAACTCCTATCTCCCCAGGTATCAGATAATTCACACCCACGGCATGAAGACATAGGAAACTAAACTTCTTCAGCTGTGCTATCTGCAAGATTGTATTTTCCCCTTTGAAAGGCACAAGCAGAAGTGACAGACATGAAGGTAATAATATCAGCCCACAAAATCCTGCTGCGTGTATGCAATCTAACCTGCAGCGGCCACAAAGAGGAACTCGTCTCTCTTGCCTGGAGATGTCCTCCCAGCACTCAGAGGACATGGCAATTTAATAATACCATTCCCTCTCCTCAGCCTGGCCCTGTGCGCTGACATACCACTTCTGACAAACTAGAAGCACGCTAAAATAAACCAGGGAATACACAGCTTTCACTTCATTCTGTTCCTCATTTCCCTGTGCCTAACTATTTCCTGCTGCTCTCAGCATAAGATTTGAAGGCAAGGAGGAGGGACTGTCAGCACAGAGTCTCATGGGGAAGAAGGGAAGCGATTAGATTTGCAGGATGGCATGTGCTACCAAGTTGTTTCTCACTCAGCTCCGGTAATGACACTCATCTTCCTTCACCATCAGTAACCAAAAGAAAAATGAAATAGCAGCAGCAGCAGCAAACTTGTGAATTCCTACCTGGTTTCATAGTTATGTAGAAATCATATAAAATGTAGAAAGGTCCACTAGATTACTTAGTGGCTTTCCTATTAAAAACAAAAAAAAAACACCACAAAAAAAACCCCAGCCCTCTTTTGAATCTTGGATATCCTTCCACCTAGGAAAAATCTCTAAGGAGAACAAAATATTTTACTAACAATTCACTAAGTAAGCCATTCCACTTTCCAGAAGATTTCACAACAGCAGTCAACAAATTCACAGCAGATTCGCCAACTTAAGTGAAAGGCCTGTTAAAAATAAATTCCTAGGAAATAGAATAGAATAAGGCCTTCAAGGTAAACACCAAAAAGCTATCTCAGTCAACGAAATGGCACTGTGCTGAAGGGCTTCCACTTGATTTTAATTCTCACGTGAATCCTTACCTTTGAGCATTTCTCCAACACTTCCTCCTTAAACTGCAGGAACTTCTCCTGGATGGCGGGCTGGTTGAGAGCAAAGGACAGGAAGTGTGTGAAGGGCTGCTTCTTACGAAAGCTGTCCAGGAGAACATCGATCCGCGTCCGGGCAGAGATGACACCGCTGCGATGCTGCCCTGTAATCACTACAAGGAAACAAAGCAATATGTGTCTGGTTTCTGTGAAGCTACAGTGAGACTACTGACACCCATGCCCATGGAAAATAAAGAGTAATTGAATGGATCATGATTTTACACGATATTTATCCATGCATTTTAAAATATCAATATTGGAACACATTGAGAAGGTAAGAATATTTCATCCAGGAGATGCCAGGAGGGACTTTGAAAAATCTGCACAACAGCACCTCTCTACTGTTAGCCCCGGGCTCACTGAAGAAGCGATAGGAATTAAAACCCCCAACCCTGCACAGAGAAATTTCGCCAGGCTCCTCGCTTGACTTAAAATGCCTGACACGGCTGTGCTTTCCTCTGTAAAGACAGGATGATGCCATCAAAAGTATCCCTCTGCTCTCAAGAAAGTCAGCTCTGAGTGCCTAAAAAACAGTAACTAAGAGTCTATCATTTCAGCGGCTCTTCAGATTTCTAGAGCATTATTTCAAGTTTTCATAAAGGCAGTCAAAGTGAAAAAGAAAAGAAAATCTATCAAAGATCAAGATGGCCTATATCGTTTGTGCATGCACTTCAAGGCACCAAACAGAGAACACTTGAGCTTGAAAGGAAAGAACTGCAAGGAGTAAAATTTTCTTGGCTTCCTATTATTACATGTTTTCAACACCTCTCACCCTTCCTAATAGTCCTTCACGGTTCTCAGGAAGAAGTCAAGACCCACTTCTTGAGAAGTACTACCACGTTCCTGTGCAGTTGGATCCCCGTCACTCCTTACAGCTCTGTCACGAATGTAACTCTACACTGTGCCAATTATCACCGGAGCGTGCGTAAGGGGCCCTCTGGATATCCACTGAGGCAGAAACCCGCACAGGCCAGCCCTTATGAGCAACGCCTCCTCTCTTTTTAAGTCACTGGAAGTGATGAGAAGGAACATACGGTACAAGAAAGCCTGCTCTCACTATCAGGATCAAGTGACAAACCAGAAAGGCAGCAAAACACTTCTCATATTAAAGCAGATGCTGAAGTTTATTTCATGCATAAATATACAACATGGTATTTTTTCTGGGTGTATATTACAGCTCGTTATTAATGAAAATGGTATTAATTTAAAAACAAAACAACAATAAAATCCCCAACGCATTCAGCCCCAAAGTCCTCCAGCCAGTCATTTAAGGCCCTGAAATTACTTCAGTGAGACTATTCATAGGCTTAAAATAGGTATTTTTTTATTCCCGAAAAACTTACACTGCTTTACAAGGATCTATAGACAGGGAAAATAAACACAGGAGAAAAGTGAAGTGATTTTCCAAGGGCCATAAATTGAGTCAGTGCCATGTCAGAAGCAGGAATTAAAGGAAAAACACTGCCTATGCCCCCTCCCTGCTCAAATCGTGTCTGTGCAAGCGCTGATGAGAAAACCCCCTTTTTGTGCAGGTTAAAGCTTACCAATTTCTCCTTCTACTCCAGGCTTGGGAATGCTGATGGAGGTTCGAGTCTCTGTTTCTAGTCTCTTCTTGGTTTCCCCTTTCTTCCCAATGATGTACCTGGAGGCATAAAAGTGCAAGAGGGTCACTCGCACAGCATCACTGCGCCACTCTCCATCAAGCGTGTCCAGCCAGCAGACTAACCCTGCCACAGGCAGCTGGGTCCCCCCAAATTCAGTATCTCCGTGCTAGAGGGATGGACGTACCCAGCCTCGTGCGCAGGACTCGGTCCAGGCACAGAGGCTTCTCCCGGAACTCCGCACAAGACCAGCCTAGGAGCATGGGATGACGTTGAGCCGTGGCTCACAGCTGGCTTAAGCTAAAATAAGTCAGTCGGTCCACCACAGCTCTGCCCAGCACATCCTGCCACAGCTTATTCGTCAGCTGGGTTATCCCTTTTTCCCATTACCCCAGCTGATGAAGAACGAAGGGCTCTTTTTCCGCTTTTTGCTTTGCTCGAGGTAGTCATTTGCCAGCATCCAAACACACAACAGAACAACTTTCCATCTCTACATTTCAGTAGAACTATTCGATCAATAAAACTGTCAAAAATAACTAGATAAAGCTTTGAACACTACAGGCTTCCCAGTAAACATCAGATTGGACTCAACAGTCAATTCCAGCCGTGTGTGCTTTCTCTCAAAGCTTTTACAAACTCTCCCTGCCAGGCTGCTCACCCCAGTTCTTCCTCCCCTTCTCCCACCATCCCTGATGCTTTTATGTTCAAGGGAAGAGATGCTCAAAAACTCTCCTGCCAGCAAGAAAGCACCACCTGCTGTCTCTGTCACAGGGAAGGCTAGGAGTCAAGCGTGGCCCAACTGCACTAGAAAGGCATTGCCAATTTTCCCTTCCCAAATGCTAAAATCCACATCCACAAAACAGAATGCATTTCAGAGATCTGGTGCTTACCCTGACCTAAAAAAAAAAAAAAATTATCCTGCACTCAAGCGCTTCCCCAGCCAGCAGCAACTCAAAGAAACCAGAAACAGATAGGCTCACTTGTATAAGGGGCTGGGAACTTCCACTCTGCACTGGAAGCCCTTCTCAGTCTCTTCCACGACAAAGGCATCACAGGGTTCGTCTGCACAGTCACTGGGGCCTACCAGAAAAAAACAACAGACCTTGTACAACCTCTGTAAAGTCTGGCAGTGCTTTAGGTAGGACAAGAGTCTCACAGCCACCTTCTCCCAAGGTTAAATAAAGGAAGAAACGGACTCCCCTCTGTTGCAGCTAACTGCTTTTTATTTCACCTTACTACCAGCTGTGGAAAACATAATGACTGCTTCTAAATCTGCTGGGCTGGGAGGCATAGGAAAGCAGCAGTTACAGCCCAGGTTTTGTCTCAGCTGGAAGTTGTGCAACTACCCAGTGGGAATGGCCTCTTCTCCTGGCAGGGTGGAAGCCACCAGCACATTCAGAGACCCTAGCAGTGATTCAAAGTCGCAGAAGAATACAAATAAAAGGTGAGGATGGGTTTAATTCAAGGGTTCGGATACGGTGTTTTGGGAAACAGAGAAATTCTCACACCCTCGGCACAGAGGAATAGATGCGCCTTTCATCTGTGGGCCATTCAGTCGTGCCTGTTAGGACCAAACGTGATTTCCAGAAACAGGCCATGGTTTCTGTCTCCTCTCCAACACATACAGGGACGAATCTGGGTGGCAAGCAGCTTATTAAAGCTTTGTTTAATCCACTGAAAGGCAGGGTGGAGGGAGAAACAGGACACAACAGCCACAACCCTTTCCATTTGAGAAATAACAGCAGAGATTTTCTCTGCCCACAACTCGTGCAGAACTACAACAAACACACAGGCAGAAAGATAAAGTAAAATACATCAGAACAGGAAGAATTTTGCCCCCAAAATAGGTAACACATTCCAAAAGCCACATTATAAGAGGCCAGTTCTTCAAGCAGCAAACACTGCAAGGGCAGAAGATCTTTAGCAAGCAGCTTCCACTCCTGCCATATCTGCAAATAACCACACTACTGAAAAGAAAAGCAATTCAGCAACCTGGGGAAAACAGATCTACAGAGCTAATTTGTTTTCCCCTTTTACTGGAGATCTTTCACGGCCAGCAAGCAAACTGACAGTCAGCAGCAGCACAGTCACCAAGCCCACATTAGGTAACCGCGATTACGTCCACTCTTTGGTCAGCAGAACCATCAGGGACCAAGGCAAAGCATTTTTCTCCCTCTTGAACACCTCAGTCCACCACACGGGCAGGTCCTTGTGCACATAAAGACATCAGAGAGAACATCAAGAGCTCCCCAGGTCCCCAGCATCGATGCTTTCACCTGTAGCACATCCTGACAGCACCACGGTCACCCCTCACGCAGCACTCTTTACCTGCACAGAAATCCTCCTCCTCGTGCTGGTAGGCCTGCTCTTGAATGAGATTCTTCCTGTACACTCGCCCCCCGATCTGTATCAGGGTGGGCCGCAGAACATCCATTCTGCTCCTCCTCCTAATGCAAAAACAAAGGCAGCTTCGCTAACTTACGCCAAGGAAAGGTAAATTTCCATGCTTCCTCGTGGATAATTTGTAAGAGGCATTGGGGGAGCTCTGAGGGGCTCTGAAGTAAAAAGCGAGGTCTGTACCTCCTCCTATACGTATATATGAGAAATTTCAGAAAAGCAATACCTTCTCAAACCTTATGTGACTCATTCAACAACTAAATTCATTAGAACTTACAAGTATACTCTTTGTCAGCTCGTAAAGGACAACCCAGTAAAAACGGGAAATTTAAGCAACGTAAGATACGTAACAAAGCATCGGGTTTTTTGCCCCTGCAAGGAGGTCAGCAACTGATCACCACTCTCCCTGAAACTCACAGGTTTTAGCTAAAACTCACTGCGGCCTCAGTCAACGTGCCGTTTTAGCACCCTTCAGGATTCTGAACAGTTTCACCTCGTTATTTTCCACAGCTGTAGACCAAAGAGACCCCAGCCTCTTGCAAGGAATCCCCTACAACACTGACCTCTCTCAAAATACCTGCCATCCTCCACCAGTTTCTCAAAGGCCTAAGGAGCTTTTCTAAAGCAAACCCAGTTCCCTGGGCTCTGCTCGGGAGGCGGCCGGGGAAGGGAAACCAAGCGCTCTGAGGGGTCGGTGCTGGCCAGTATGAGTGGTTACACCTCCTGCCCTCCGCCTCAGAGCACCGTGGTTAAGTTTGAGGTGTGTGCGTAAAAGTCTTATGCTACCCTGCATTATTCCAAACGATATTAGAAACAGGGCGTTAAACTTTTTACGGTGGAGAACATTTAACGGTGCAAAAGCAACAGGGAGATCCAAAGAACTGGCAGCCAGCTGTCAAGACTTCACATCTTCACTATTTAGATTTCTACGTTCACTGAAATTGTTAACGTGGGATATCTCGGTTTGCCTTGTTTTTAAAATGGAAATTCCAGTTACTTAGAAAACAAAGTCTCCAGCAAAAAATTTGCCTTCGTCAGAAAGGTTTCCCTGTCCACTACAACAGAACCTGAGAGGAAAAAATGAAGAGCTTGCCTTTGAAGATGAATTTATCCTAAATTGGATTGGAGAGTTGGATATGGAGTGACATCAGGTTCAGAAGGTTAATGCTTTTCCCCTCAATTAAAGCCCCACCTCCTGAAATGACTCACAACCACCTGAACTTACATTTAAATAAAACGGCATAATGTGGTTCAAGGGAAGAAGTGCAGGTGTGAACCATACACCGAGGAAGGCGGAATAAGCCATGAAAAAGCACACTGCTGTTGGGTTTTTTTCCTTTTTTAAATTGCAGAGCTGGTGTCACCATTTCTTGATACAGGACCTCTGTTAAAAACCCGGGAGCGACCACACCCCACCGCACCAGCAATGC